ATATTGGTTTGTTTTTAAATAAATAATTTTGTTGAGTGAAAGAATTAGCAATTTTCTAGTTTGTCTTTATTAATTTTTAGTTAGCATACAAAATAATTGGCGTCATTGTGACATTTTCATACATATGTATCGTTGTACTTTGTTCTTCCTCACCTTCCCCCATCCTCTCCCATCTCCTCTGTCTCACTCTTGCAGGTCTCCTTCATCTCCCCGAATCATCTCACCTTCTGCTTTCAAGTTACATATATTTCATCATCCTATCTTATGCTCTTCTTTTGTTTTAAGTATTTGATATTTTGGAGTTCACTTACATAGTCTCCATGTGGCTGAAGATATTTATTCGTAAAGCAAATTTATAAGAAATGCAATAGGGTTCTTTTCTAAATTGTGACAGTTAAGCAATTCATCAGAACTCTACCTCTAAGGCACGGAGCAGTAGACAGCTTGAAAGAAGTCTGTGTTTGCCGCAAGCATGCTTCACAACCAGGTAGATGGGAAGGGAGTGGTGAGGTGCACTTTCTCCCCAAGCCCTTCTAAACTGTAACTTCAGATCTAATTTTAAACCTCACTCTTACGGTAATGCAGTGGATTATTTATTGGATGTTTTCAAAGGCAGCTTATTTTTTACATTTTGTTTATGACTGTCAATAAGCAGTTGGTAAGTAGATTTTGGCTACAATATTCCTATTTAGGTTGCTAATCATATAATACACCCAATTCAGAGAAAAGAAGCAGCTGGGAAATTAAGTCTGCTGTTATTTTGTATTATTAACACCTTAGTGAGTTGAGTGTTGAGTATTTAGTGAGTCATTCTACACCAGACAGAAAGGCAGATGGGTGGTGTGCAGCTTCAAATCTGTGCAAATAGGAAACAGATGGGTGGTTTAAATATCCCCATGAACATGTGTGGAGAGATGACTTCTGAAGTTAGAAAAAAAAAATAAGAATGAGTTAGGGTTCCTAAAGTTAAAGTAAACACACACACACACACACACACACACACACAGCCTAAGGGGGACATTAAGTGTGGAATTTGTTGCATTCACTCCCTAGGACTTTGAAGGTACAAGTAATTACAAAGTTGTAGATTAGACCACAGTACTCAGATATGCTAATCGGTAACTTGTTTTCTTTGAGCACAGTGTGTGGGAGGGATCTGTTTTACTTAACTTTTTCTAGATAATCATACGTGATCTTGTGAATTATGTGATAATTAACTTGTTCAATTTCTAGTAACAAATAAACCAGGTTTTAAAAACAATGAGTCGAAACAAAAGACAAAAGCGAGTTAAATCTTGAAGTGGGTCTCAGGAAGACAGCAGTGTGGGTGTCTGGTGGCCCGTGGGGAGGACCTCACACCTTTCACCTCAAGCAGGGCAGTGTCTCTTGGTGTCTAGCTGGGAGGCTGGGAGGTGAAGCCCTGAGTTTCAGATGTTAGTGCGTGTGCGTGTTGATTGACTTTAGGACTTTCCACGACCTGTATTTCTACAAGAAGGATGCTAATACTAGTATTATTCAGGAATAGAAATTCTGTATTATGTTATTCTGAGAAAAAATCTGTATTATTCTGTGGAACAGTGTATTCATTGGGTTGTTAAAATCATTTATAATTGATACTGAAGTGATTTAGTTGCTAAGTAATAAAAATAACCCAAGAACATTCTATTGAGTCAAAACTTCTTTAAGGATTCAACATAACTGAGGTAAAAATGTTCATTGGATTTTTGATAAACATTCTTCAAGTCTAGATTTCAAACAAGATGGGATTACCCAAAAACAAAAAAAAACCCCAAAGGATACCTGGTGGTGAGACGTGTTCTTTCATGTGAAGTTACGCATTACTAACCTGTGTGATTATTGTGCTCACTTAGGACATAAAATGTTCTATCCTATTGTAGTCAAATATACAAATTCCATTTCTTTGTAGTTTAAATTTTGTCATACTTGATCTGCCTTCCCCCACTCCCCAAGTCTGAGAAATACATTACCAGGGCTAACATTTTGTAAAGTAATTTATACAGTTACTAAAATTCTTGTGTCAGAACGAGCTATTAGTGGGGCTAGACTTTTTTCTGTAAAATGCTTGTTCATCTTATGACAGGGTTGGCGGTGGTTCTGGTACTTGGCGAATTCCAGACTTGTGGGTCATAGAGACATCCTAGTCTGTAAGAAAGATGATTTCCTTTTATTTTTATATTTTTAGTAGATATTAGATGTTTAATATGTTTTTTGAACAACTCATCCATGTGTGTGATGTCTCTTGAATCCCATCCACCTCCGACTCTCCCTTGGTCTCCCACCACATCTGTTTCCTTTTTATGCCTTTCTGTTTCCTTTTTCTTTGGGAACACAACTGAGTACCATTAGTGATGCCCATATGCATACAGGTGTGGCACTCAACCCTTGGGGCATGAGTAAGGTGTTAGTGGTCACACCCTCAAGAAAAAGAGACTCCTGTCCAATAGCCACAACCCCAAATCTCCTCTGCTGTGGGCAGTTCCTCAAGCGTCCTCTTATCCATGCTGGCATTTTAACTTGTCTTGGTCTCATGAACTAGAGCTGCTGTGAGTTTCTGTGTGGAGCAGCCATGCCATGTCTAGAAGGCAGCCTTTCACAGTGCTTCTGCCCCTCCTCTGCCCTCATATTTATTCCTTTGATGTGCTTAGTTCATTTGCCTTGTAATTAGAGGGAGAGATGAGAAACACAGACGAGTTGCATTTTTTCGTTTTGTTTTTGAATAGTTGTGTGTGGAGGATGTCTAAATCTCTTTGCAAAAATCTTCACCTTTTCTTGCTATTTTTCACTGTGACTAGAGAAATTCTCAAACAGGTGATAATAACAGGTGATTGCTGAGCTGAAACAGACTGGCAGCAAAGGAAAGCTTTTAATTCTTAATATGCTTGTAAGTGAATATTAGCCATATAATACAGGACAACTGTCCAAAATCCATAGACATGAAGAAGCTAAGTGACAAGGAGCACTCTACGGAGGTTGCTTAATTCTCCCTCAGAAGGGCAAAGAGAATAGGTATCTGAAGTGGTTGAAGAGAGGGAACAGTGCGGGAGCCTACCATATATGTACTCTGAAAGATTCCTCCTGGCAGGGGATCAAAGCAGACTCACAGCCAAACTTTGGGCATTGATGGACCTGAGGGGACAAGAGCTCCACAAGGAGACCAACAGAGCCAACAAATCTGGGCCCAAAGGGGCCCTGCAGAGACTGATGTACCAACCAAGGACCATGCATGGAGAGGACCTAGGCCCCCTGCTCAGATGTCGACAATAGGCAGCTCAGTTTCCATGTGGGTTCCCTAGTAAGGGGAGCAGGGGTTGTCTCTGACATGGTCTCTGTTAACTACTCTTTGATTACTTCCTCCTGGCAGGGCAGCCTTGTCAGGCCACAGAGGAACTGGATGTAGGCAGTCCTGATGAAACTTGATAGGCTGAGGTCAGATGGTAGAGGAGGAAGTCTTCCCTTTTCTGTGGGTCTAGGGGAAGAGAACAGGGAGATGAAGAGGGAGGGTGGGACTGGAAGGAGGTGAGGGAGGGAGCTACAATCAGGATATAAAATGAATAAATTATAAAAAGTAAAAACTTAAAAGGATAAATTTTTAATATGGGGCTACAAATATAGCTCAGTGGTTAAGAGCACTTGTTGCTCTTCTAGAGGACCAGATCTCAGTTCCTAGCACCCATAGGAGGTGGTTCAGAACCAGCTTCAGGGGGTCTGACACCCTTTTCTGACATCCACAAGCACCTCCCACACATGGCATGCACACAGACAACACACACACTCACACAGACACACACATATACACGCCACACACATACACACATACCACACACACACACACAACACACACAGACACCACACACAATAGTACGAGGTCTTTTCCTGAGGATAGGATTCACTTGTAGAACTTCCTTGGAAGAAGGAAAGGAATTAATAAATATCTAATATTATTCTTTAATCTAAATTGATAAGACATATTTACTCAATTTTTACCAAAAATCTACGACTTGCTTAAAATTGTATTATTAGGTGTATGTATGTTGGCAATATATTTTAATGATTATTTTATAAATATATTTTAATGATTTAGATAATAATAAACCACAAAAAGGTTTCTTTTTTTTTCCTAGACAGGGTTTCTCTGTGTAGCCCTGGTTTTCCTGGAAATGGCTCTATAGACCAGGCTGGCCTTGAACTCAGAAATCCACCTGCCTCCACCTCCTGAGTGCTGGGATTAAAGGTGTGTTCCACCACCACCTGACCACAAAAAAAGTTTTTAATTCATGCAATAACATTGTCTCCCAGACATCTTCTACATTTTCTGTCTGTGCTTGATTGGCAAGTCTGGATTGTCCTACTTGCGAAGACATTTTTCTTAAATTCCCTGCGCTTTACTTTCTCTCTTTGCCTAGCTCTGCAACCTTGCCCATCCTTTCCAAGTATTCTTTAGCATTCCAGTTTACCATGCTCTTTAGTATGGTCTCTTTCAAACATGGCACCCATGTCATCCAGCATGGGAGTGTCCAGTTGGTAATATCCATCATGGCGGAGGCTGTATTTCTGTTCATCTTTGTTATTCTTTTCCACACCCGTGCATCTTTTATGTGTGTTTTCTCCACAAAACCCCATTGGATTACTCATCTCTATTGATATCATGGACTCAGGCTTAAAGTTTAACATTTGCATGCTTTCCTGCTTACGTAGTCTCATTTGAGCAGTTGTTCCGATTTGCTATAAGCTCCTTTGAAGAGGAGAAGGATTTTATGTGTGTGCTTATGTGTCCTGACTTTGATTTACCAAGCCCTTGCTGCACAGGAGCCTCTGTGCTGAGGACTGGCCATTAGGACTTGGCACAGCACCCTGCACAGGGCACACAGTCAGCAGCCTGGATTCTTCCCTAAATGTGGGAAAGAACAGACAGCAGCAGACGTCTGGGCTCCTACAGTGATGACACAACTTATCTCTGCTGTCTTCAATGTTTTCTTCAGGGAAGGAAACAGAAAAGGCCAAGGAGCGCTATGACAGAGCTACCATGAAGCTCCACATGCTGCATAATCAGTATGTCCTGGCGCTGAAGGGGGCACAGCTCCATCAGAGTCAGTATTACGACACCACGCTTCCTCTGCTGCTGGACTCTGTGCAAAAGATGCAAGAAGAAATGATAAAAGCACTGTAAGATACATTTCCTGTTTATCATAACGTCCCTTCAGAATATGATTCAGCATTTCTCCCACAGTTAAACATTTGCCTCAGAGCTTCGTTATTACCCAGACCACGGGGCAGCTCAGACTGTTTTTCTTTTCTGGAGTTTTACTCGTGGTGGTCTTTCAGTTGTGCCCATCACCTCGCATGCCTGAAGGATCTACCTCTGTATGTTGTAGTTGTTACTTATGCTGCTCTTTCATATGTTTAAGTCAAAAAGGGTGCCCAGTGACTGCCAGCCCAGAGGGTAAGGCAGTTAAACCTCAACTGAAGAAGCTTCAAGAAGAGAACTTTTCAAAAGTTTATTTCCAGCTTCTTGTTCTTTTCCTATATGAGACTGAATTCACTTATTCATTGAAGTTGTGCCGTGTACGAATGCACACTGCTTGGTGCTTGTGTGTGTAGGCAGAGTTTCTCACCTTTTCAGGGGTCAACAGTCACTCCAGTTAATAAGCTGTATGCTCAGATATTGTCCTATATTTAGGAGAGTAGAAAATGATGGCCACATTTGATGGGCTTCACTTCCTTTATTTTCCTGTTAAGCATTTTGCACATCTTTAAATTCAGTTTTCTTTCACTGAAAATGTGTGTGGGGATTTTTTAGCGTGATTTAATTTAAATGAATTTGTCCCTAACACTGTTTTTCTATAAAAACAAAGCAATTATTTGGGTGTGGTCATGCAGGCCTTTAATCCTAGCACTTGGAGACATTTACAGATACAGATTTTTTGTGACTTTGACAAAGGGGATTTTTAAGTAATGATTTTGATTCATAAGTAGTTATTTTAGAAAACAGAAAATCAAACTCTGCTTTATATTTATGTAGCTATATGCAGAATAGGCTTATTTGCCCATATTTGCTTTGAAGCCAGTAATAACCAGTATTTATAAGGCATAACCCTAAAAAGTAGGTGATTTGGTCTATGTGACAGAATTCTTTTCCTTTTTTTTTAATTAGACCAAGCTAATAACCTTGATGAAATTTTTACTATAGACTGGCGATCAGGAGAAGAAATAGATGTCATGGAAGCTGACCTAAGTAATATATATATATATATATATATATATATATATATATATATATATATAAAACGATACTATCTATTGTTATATATTATTATATATTATATAATATTATATATTTATACTATGTATTATATAATATATAGTATATTAATATATACTTTATTATTATGTATATATAGTATATATAATGTGTAGTATATTATAATATATATATATATATATATATATATATCCATATCCCAGGATAAGTGTGGAGTAGGGCATTTAAAGGGTGTCATACACTAGAAGAGAAACAGTGATGCAGAAGAACTCTATCTTAAAAAACAAAACAAAAACCAGAAAAGCAACAAAGAAATAAGGGTTGGTCAGCGCTCCATGCCAAAGAATGCAAGGTTTCTTTAAGAATATTGAGGAATAGAAAGTTATTAATACTGGCTGTCTCTGCCTTTTGGGCACACCAGATACATATTTGAATTGGTAATGGTGTGTTTGAATTACTGCACATGTACCTGAGCCCTTCTTGCTCCAAATATATGAAATAAGGCGATGCATGAACCACTACTCTTAAAGCTCCTTTTTCTATGTTTATTGTTATGAATTCTCTCTGGGTCTTTCTTTCTCTTAATAGAACACTAAACTATATTTTATTTTTTGCTTTTCAGAAAAGGTATATTTCATGAATATAGCCAGATAACCAGCCTTGTTACAGAGGAAATAGTGAATGTCCATAAAGAGATTCAAATGTCTGTTGAACAGATAGATCCTAGCACAGAATATAATAACTTCATAGATGTCCACAGGTATGGTATTTTCATTCATTTAAAACTGTTTTTGAATATATTGCTTTTTATAGTAGAGTACTTAAGGAACTTAGAAAATAAGTGTTTTAGAGCAGGGTTTATTTTATATGAATTTATCATTTTTTTAAAAGACATTTATTATGTACAGTGTTCTGCCTGCACATACATCTGCAGGCCAAAAGAGGGAACTGATGGTTGGGAGCCACCATGTGGTTGCTGGGAATCGAACTCAGGACCTCTAGAAGCTCAGCCGGACAGTGCTTTTAATCTCTGGGCCATCTCTACAGCCCCAAATTTATTGTTTTATTTTTAAAAGACTGTCTTAAACTTGATAGCTAACTTATAAAATTATATTTAACTCTTTTTCAATTGATATGTCATTATTTAAACCCATATTTAACCTATGAAATTGTGTTTTCTTAACATTTACATAATACATGATATTATGAGATTTTTTCTTAGGCATTAATTACTTTTTATCGCATGCATCTTGTTTTATACTTTGTATCATTGTGACGAGGATAAACTGACTAATGTGTATGTATATTCTACAAAGGAAGAAACCAAGGTGCAGGCTATATGACAAGATCTTTTAATTCCTACGTTTTTGTCTAAATTATAGAATTATGTTTACTTTGTTAGCGGAAGTTTGAACAATAGTAAAGATTTTGCCCTTGATATGCACTGAGATAGATTATGGTAGTATACTAATATTGAGTACAATTATTTGGCATACTTTACTAGAACAACAGCTGCAAAAGAACAAGAAATCGAATTTGATACTTCCCTATTAGAAGAAAATGAAAATCTTCAGGCTAATGAGATCATGTGGAATAATTTAACAGCAGACAGTTTGCAAGTAATGTAAGTACTTAGCAAAATCATAACAGTGTAAAATGAGTGTTATCATTGCCTTGATAGTTATTGTATTTCATCAGCTTTAAATTCTTCTCTTTTTTTTTTTTGTAAGCAATAAAAAATAAGTTTGGTCAAAATGATGTGATTCTTGCATGTTGTGTGTTTTGTATGTATGTTGTATATGCTGTATATTGCATATGTGTGATGTATGTGGGACTGAGTGTGCTCCTTTCTTGTCCTCCTTACTGTCTTGAGGTGGAGTCTCTCACTGAGCTGGAAGCTCACTGATGAGGCCAAGCCTGTTGGGGGTGACTTTTGGAAATCACCTGTCTCTGCCTCTCAGTGCTGGGAATATAGGAAGTGCTGTCATGGGGGCTTCTCTGTGTGGGTGCTTGGGATGGAACTCAGGTCTTCATATACACCACACAACAAGTGCTCTTGCTCTTACACACTGAGACAAATCAGTCCCCAGATGACATATTTTGTTACCACTAATTTAAAAATATTAAATTTGTGTGATGTTGCACAAATTTTTCGACTGGTTGCTGGTATACTAGAATGATGCTTTATCCTTTTAAATGTTAGACTTTCCTTTTTATTTTATTCTCAATACTTATTGGCCAGCCATATTTTAGAAATGTGGACACTGAATTTTGGACATAGGAGTCATTGATATCACAGCATTTAACATAAAATCTTAAACTTTTGATTGCATTTTTATTTGTAAGCAAGGATATATTTTATTATAAGTGATTAAATCAGCTTCTTTGCCTTGTTTTTGTATATATACACATTGTGGGAGTTTTGAGGAATCCTAATTTTTTTATACACTTCAAACATTAAAGGCAATTAAAAGTGATTAAGGCCATATTTTTTGTTAAATATTTAAGTTATCTCATGGTTTTGTTCAGGGATTAGAAACAAACATTTATCGATAAGCATTATATACACTTACCCTTGTGTTGGAATTAAAGGTGGAAAGTATATTGTGGGCACTACTTTTTAACTCTTTTTATTTTTAAATTTTTTTATTAATTACACTTTATTCACTTTGTATCCCCCCATAAACCCCTTCCTCCTCCTCTCCTGATTCCACCTTCCCTCCCCCTTCTTCATGCATGCCCCTCCCCAAGTCCACTGATAGGGGAGGTCCCCATCTCCTTCTTTCTGATCTTAGTCTATCAGATCTCATCAGGAGTGGCTGCATTGTCATCTCTGTGGCCTGGTAAGTCTGCTCCCCCATGAGGGGGAGGTGATCAAAGAGCAGGCCAATCACTTCGTGTCAGAGACAGTCCCTGTTCCCATAACTATGGAACTCACTTGGACACTGAACTGCCATGGGCTACATCTGTGCAGGGGTTCTAGATTATCTCCATGCAAGGTACTTGGTTGGAGTATGAGTCTCAGGAAAGGCTCCTGTGTTCAAATTTTCTGGTTCTGTTGCTCTCCTTGGGGAGTTCCTGTCCTCTCCAGATCTTACTATTTCCCTCTTTCATAAAAATCTTTCATAAGATTCCATGCACACTGCCCAACAGTTGACCGTAAGCCTGAGTATCTGCTTTGATAGTCTGCAGGGAAGAGCCTTTCAGAGACCCTCTGTGGCAGGTTCCTAACTTGTTTCCTGTTTTCTTCTTATTTTATTTGCATTTCTTATATCTTTCTCGCCCTTCTCCAGTCCAAACCCAACCTCAACACTGGGTAGGAGAACACAAAGGTTAGTGGGGAGAAGAAGCAGAATTCTAGACTACTACTTCCTGGTTAGAGTTGTCGGGTTCTTTTGGGGGAAGTCAAATATTTGTTTCAGGGTGTCTCCAACTTCTTGTCACACCCCATCAACAGCAACCAGGAACAGCTGGGGCCAAGCACCAGCAGCCTTCTTTCTAGGAGCCACCTTCCTCTCTGTGGGCCCTGGGATTTGTTTCCTCTAGAGTCCTCAGATTTAAACTCTCTGCAGCTGGCAAAGAGCCCCCCTTGTAGCCCACATGAAACTAATAGTCTGCTGCTGTGGACCATCTCAATCAGTCCCATATCCTATGCCTGGGATCAAAACAAAACATGTTTACATCCGCAACCACGCATATTCATTTCCTGTCAGTATTGGGCATGCTATATTATTTTACTTTACTAATTTTTTTCCTCTATTGGGTGAGACAAAAGTCCTCATAAATATAATTAATCTATTATTCAGAAATACTACAGTGGGGCAGGTAATTTATTAGGGGAGAATTATAGGATTCATTCTTAGAAAAGGGGTTGAAATATTTAAAGAGGTCTATATAGAATTGAAGGCACTAACACATGCTCTTCCAGACACTTATTCATGATGAAGCCTCATGAATCAGAGGTCTGATTGCTATTGAGGGAGGTGAAGACATGGTGTCTCTGCATTAGTGAGGAGGTGAAGACATGGTCTCTCTGCATTAGTGAGGAGGTGAAGACATGGTCTCTCTGTATTAGTGAGGAGGTGAAGACATGGTCTCTCTCAGCATTAGTGAGGAGGTGAAGGCATGGTCTCTGCATTAGAGAGGTTTTTCTGACAGCATCTTGGAGCTGTCCACGGGTTTTTCATGCCCTCTCCCTGGGTCTCTGTCTTGATTTGGCAATGGATGTTTTTAGTCTTAGCCGTCTGTAAACTATTAGTTTTTATCTGCGCTGATTTTGTCCTCCAGGAGACATTTGAGAGCTGGGAGTGTTAGGCAGGAATGCAGCTAAGCATTCTGTCATGTAAAGGACAGACTCTTAGACAAAGGATCCTCTGGGAACAATTTCAGTAGTGTTGAGGTTGAGAAACACCCCGGTGAGTGACATTGAATGTTTACTGCACATGATGATTGGCAGAACTCACTGTGTGGCATGGCATCCCATTTCTTAATTCATGTGCTCCATGTTAAATGTTAAAGAAATAACATCAGTTGCTGCTGAGGGTTGGTTGTCACTACTGTCTCTGAAGTAACTTATTTACTCAACATAGCTTTTTATGGGATATCGAAAGTTATATGATTAATGTTCTCAAGGAGTCAGTACTAAAATTGATCATTTATTTTAATGACTAGCCAATGGAATGAAAATATAGGTACTGGAATATAATGTGGTAGTATTAAAAACAACTACCTGTTAGAGCTTGTGAGCAGAGATCTTGTGGCACATAATTTCTTTTATTGCTTTTCAGAGTATAATGAGACTAGAATCAGTTATGTCAACAAATCATTATTTGTTATTTTGATGATGAAGCAATGACGCTCCCCATACTCCATAAATTATTGATAATAAATTTGTGATAATGTAGTAGATATAATTGCTTATATCTTTATTAAGCAGAACTTTATCTACATTTCGTTGAACAGTATCTATTCAGGATACAAGATAAAGAAAAATGCACATGGGTCTGTGTGTTTGTGCATATACGTTTGTGTATTTTCAGTGCTAAGGGTCAAATCGAGGCTTGTGCATGGTAGGCAAGAATTCTACCACTATGCTAATTTACTTTGTTTAGTTGTGACAAGTACTGTGACTGGAAGCAGCTTGAGGAGGAGAGTTTGTTTGGCTCACAAGTACAGGTTACGATCTATCACTGAGGAGCTCGAAGGCAGTCCTGCTCACTGTTTCACAGAGCAGTGCCTCCCACCAGGGCGGTAAGAAGCAGTTGTTGGTGGCAAAGTAAAGATTGGAAGTTATTTTCAAATAATGTGAACATTCACGTCTCCGTCCACGAAGTAATTCTGCCTACTGTCAGCAGTATGATTTAGACATTTATGGCCTTTGGTGATATTTTCTGATCTTTAGTGAAGTCTTCTTAGCATACTAAAATTTACCGATATTACATAGTAAAGTTCTACAAAATTGTGCAAAACATCTTGTGATCTAAAGTGAGACCCAAACCCGAGGCTTTGTTTTCCAGTAAATTTTAAAGAGAAATTAGAATCAGAACATGTTTAACTTTTATGATGGAATATAAGTACATTGTTGTCACCAAGTTATAGTAATTCACTATGTAGAAAAATAATTCTTTCAGATCTTGTAGAATCCAAGTTAGCAACGTATTTATAGAATTTGAGTGTCAAATCTATTTTGCTGCCTTTTTTTATACAGCCCATAAACTGAGAATGATATTAACATTTTAAAATGTCGAAACTATCGAAAGCATTATCTTTTGGGGCATCTAACAATCATGTGAAACTTGAACATCAGACTGTACAGACGAAGTTTTATTGGGGCACAACTGCGTTTACAGCAGCAGCAGAGCCAGGTAGTTGTGTTGTGACAGCAAGTGCAGTGGCTGTCTGCTGCTTGGCACCATACATATCACAGTACCATTTTGAGTGCCACACACTCCCCTGTACTGCAGCATTTCATTTACTTCTGTTATCAGTTCATGCCTCTTGTGTCAAAATAAGAAGAGAAAATGGATTCCAAGTGACTGACTTTGAGTGTTTTGTTATAAGTTATACTGTGGACTATTTTGTTTATGACTTAGGCGGCAGAATAGTAAGTTAGGTCTGCAGTTGAACACAACTAAATTTTTGTCAGCTGTATTCAGATTAGTGACTTGAGAGCTTTGGGGAAATGTCAAAGAATTAGAAGGCAGATGTTAGGAAGTCAGTTTGAGGAAAACTGTTTAAAAGAAATAGTTGGATTTGTTGGGTGGAAGTAGATTATGTTGAATTTGTTTGAATATATCCAACAGTAGCTTATAACTGCTTGGGACTAATTAGGAACTAATTAGGAACCATCTTGTGACACCAGCATAATAAAGCAAACAGAGAAAAGTCCAGGAGGCCCCAGCCCTACAAAAGCACTATATGGCAAGCAGGGGAAGCTGGGAAGGGGAGGAACGAGCATCAGTTGTTTGTCCAGGACAAAGTGGGCAGCCCTGGAAAATGCACATTCAAGTAACATTATGTGGACTAAGCAGCTTATAATTCAGAACATATATGTAAATACATATATTCACATTACACTCTACCACCAAGCTAGTAACCTAGTCCAGCTGAACAATGTTTAAGGAT